GGGAGCACGACGGGATGGCCGGGGAACCCAAAGGAGTCGGCGCCGCCCGTGCCAGCGGCATGCACGTGGAGCTCGGGACCGGGCCGCAGGAGTGGGGGATGGTGGAGGAGAGGGCCGAGGCGCTTTGGCCCCGTGGGGGGAGGAGGGAGGAGGGAGGAGGGAGGAGGGAGGAGGGCGGAGGGGGGAAGGGGGAGGGCGGACGGGGGAGGGGGGAGGGGGGAGGGGGGCGACGATCCTTGCGGGAAGGTCAAGGCTCCTCTCCGCGCCCCCTCGCCTGGCCTGCCGCCCGCGCGAGGCCGGGCGGGCTCAGAGCGCGGGCGCCTCCGGCGTGGGGCCGCCCGCCGACGGCACCGAGGGCGCGGCGGGCGGCAGCGTCGTGCGGCTGCCTCCCTGTCTCGTGTGTCCGGGTCTCGTGCCGCGGGGGCGTGCGCCACGTCGTGTCGGCACGTGGCGGTTGATTTCCAGCTGCGTGAGCGAGAGCGTCGCGCCGGGCCAGAGCTGCGCAGGGTGCCCCAGGGGCCCCGCGCCGCCTCCTGGGCCCTGCCCAGGGGCGCCGCGCGGGGCGGCCTTCTGCGAGCGGGGGCCAGGCGACGGCGAGGGCGCCCGAGAGAAGGCCAGGGCGAGGAACAGTCAAGGGGAGAGCGTCGGCAGTGTGCGGCACATGGTGGTTGGTGGTCCAGCCGCGAGAATGTCTCTGGACGGGCCTGCGCCCGACCCCGGCAGGCCTGCGGGGCAGGTGCCCCGGACGGCCTCGACACGGCAGGGGTGGGCAGTAGAACATGAGGACACCTGCTGATCCTCTGTGTCGCCCTCCTTTTCCTCCTCATATAAATGTCCTCTTCCTCTTCCTCCCCCTCTTCCTTTTCGCATTCCTCCCCGGCATGCCGAGGAACAGGGCGCGGCTGCGGCGTCGTCCTGTAGCGCCTGCCACACGCGCCTCGAATTCGCCAGCTCCCGGCTGACCACGTCGGCCTGCGGGCACCGAGGCAAGGCGCCGCGCGCTCGGAGGAAAACGGACCCTCGATCCTCGGTTGTCCTCGGTCCCCTATCCTGCCCATTCTCCTCGTCGATTCCCCTCCTCCTCCTCCTCCTCCTCCTCTTCCTCCAGCTCCACCTTTTTCTCCTCCCCCTCCTCCTCCTCCTCCTCCTCCTCCTCCTCCTCCTCCTCCTCCTCCTCCTCCTCCTCCCCCTCCTCTGCCGCCTCCTCCTCGATCGATCTCGATCCTCCTCCTCCTCCTCCTCCTCCTCCTCCTCCTCCTCCCCACGAGGCAAACACGATGCAGGCCTGGGTGGTTTCATGTTCCTCCTGAGAGAGCTGGAAGAGACCGTGTTTGTAGCCCGCGCCTTCTGAACGCGGGTAGACTGCACTCTTCATGCGTCTGCCTAACACGGGCCATTTCGGACCAGGGCCTGCAGGACCCTCCGGGATCCTGCAGGAGCCTGCACGCTGGCCCGGGTCAGTGCGGCCTTGGCTTTGCAGTGTCCTGCAAAATCTGGCGCTCTGGCTGACCCCCTTTTGCAATGACCCCGGTCTCACGGCTCCAAACTTCGGTAGGGCATGTCCCGCTACAGGCGGATATTGGACGACAAATGCCAAATAGATGTGTAAAAATGTTCCTAAATGGGACACAATATGAAAAACAACATCGTCCCCATACTATTGTTTTGACTATTTTTGAATATTCCTCCTGTGGAGGGACAGGCCCGACTAGACTCCGGACAATCCAAAGATCTCGAGGTTATGTTGCATCCTCGGGGGACCTTGTCTGTCCCGTCGCGGCCCTGTCCGCGTCGAATGCGTGTCGAATCCATGTCGGACGCGTCGCATCCGTGCCGAATCCGTGTCGAATCCGCGTCGAATCCATGCCAAATCCGCGTCGAGTCCGCATCGAGCTCCCGTCGGGCCCCCAAAAAGAGAACAATTTTAGGGACTGGCGAGGTCCCCCAAAGATGCAACAGAATCAAGGTCATTGGAGCGGTCGGGGAGCGCCAATGGCCTCCACGGCGGCCGCGGCCTCGCGGACCGCCCCAGCGGAAGGGCGTGCCCCGAGATCCGCCGCCATGACTTGTTCACAACGTCAGCCCGCGGAGGTCTCGACCCATGCACAGGCAGCGGCTTCTCATCCTGAGATGCGAGGCGAAGACTTATCCAGATCCACCGCCTGGGAACCGGCGTCCTGGCGCCCCAGCGGGCGGTGGATGTGGATACATTTTGGCCCCCGGGGGCCCGAGTATGTTCATATCCACCGCCTGCTGGTGCCCCCGAAATTGATCCTCCAGGCGGTGGTCATGCATAAATTCCCGTCTCGGGTGAGCCCTCTTTTTCACGGCACCGGAGCTCTGCGAGGGCCCCAGAGGTCGAAAAGGGCAACAGAGCCTCCCGACATGATTTTGTTCACGGCTCGGGGGGGCTGCAGAGGCCTCCTAGATGGCGGACGGAGTGGGTGGGGTCGGAGGATCGCGCCGCATCTCCGATACATCGGCGATGCATCGGCGATGCCTCGGCGATGCACCGGCGAGGCATTGTCGACGTGGGCGATGCATCGGCAACGTCGACGTGCAGCAAATCGGGCTCCACATCGAGCCGCATCGGTGATGCACCGACGATGCGGCGCGATCCTCCGACGCCATCTGCTCCGACCCCATCTGGGAGGCCTTGAGCCTGGGGAGGGCGCGGGCCCCGGCCTTGTCCAGCTTGACGATGACCGTCTCCTCGTTCCGGCCCTCGATGGGGTCTACTGGCTGCACCTGTCGGCCGGCCCAGCTTCTCTGCCATGAGCTCTTGCTTCGGCCGCCGGCGGGAGTCCCGCGGTGGCTCTGCAGGACTTCGAGGACGGCCGAGGAAGGCCATCAAGGCCACCCAGATGGCCCAGTAGGGCCCAGAAGGCCTCCAAGAGGCCCGTGTCCTCCTGATACGCTATTCCAGAAGGGTATCGAGATGCTCCAGAAGTTGTTGTTACGTTGTATTTCCTGTGTGTGCATGTGTTGCTTTCCACTCTCTTCGGTCGATTATCGCTCCACTGACGATCTTGGAAAACACGACTGGCAACTCCCCTTGCTCGATTCTCACTCCACTTGCCAATGCACTTCCGACGTACACTGCTTTCTTCCTTTCTCTCTTTCTCTCCTACGGTCTTCGTTCGAAAGCTAAATATGGCCAACCGATAGCCCCAAGAGGGCCGCCAGACGACCCCCGGAGAGCCCTAAGCTGTTACACGAAGATCTCCAGAGGACCCAAGACGACCCAAGAAGGCCCAACGACGGCGCAAAGAGGGCTCCAGGACGGCCCCACCGCGGCCACCCAAAAGACGGCCATAGTGGCACCAAGACGGCCGAAGAGGGTCCCGAGATGGCCCCAGAGGCCCCCAAGGCCGCTGGGCCCCCCAAAACGGCCCCACAGGTGCGCAAGACAGCCCCACGGCGGCTCAAACATGCAACATGCCCTATGAGATCTCCCCCACAAGTGAAGTCAGGAGGTCACATGTCACATGTGCTAGCCCTTCTGCGCACTGCTCGAAGGGTCGCCACACGGAAGGACTCGCTGTGCCCGGTGGCGGATTCGCCGCAGGCACCTGGCTACAGACACGGTACACATACACGCACACATACACGCAATTATACATAACACACATCTTTATGCATACATATATATGTATATATACATAGATACTGTTTATGTGTATACATAATTATATATATATATATATATATAGGAAGTTTGGGGGGGGTCAGATCGAAGTGGAACGGAGAACCCACCTTCCAGGAAATCGATTTCGGTTTCGTGTTCGTGCGTACCGTGCGTGCGGGCGAGGCGAAGCTGCGTGGGCGGGCAAAAGGAAAGTCTCCTGTGGCTGAGGCGCGGCCCGACCAAATGACTCCCTTCATGCAACCGGTGCCGCGCGGTGTCCCGCCGGTGTCCCGCTGTGGCTGAGGCGCAGCCGGACCAAATGACTCCCTTCCAGCGTCCGGTGACGCGCGGTGTCCCGCCAGTGTCCCGCCAGTGTCCCGTCGGTGTCCCGATGATGATGATGATGATGATGATGATGATGATGATGATGATGATGATGATGATGATGATGATGATGATGGTGGTCATGTCGATGATGTTGATGATGATGGTGATGGTGGTGATGATGAAGGTTTCCCAATGATGATGATGGTATTGATGATGATGATGATGATGATGATGATGATGATGTTGACGATGTTGATGCTGATGGTGACGATGATGATGGTGATGGTGGTGATGATGATGGTGTCCCGATGATGATGATGATGTTGCTGATGAAGATGACCATGGTATCCCGATGATGATAATAATACTGATGATGATGGTGATGATGATGATCCTGATGATGTTGCTGATGGTAAGATGATGATATGATGATGATGAAGTGATGATGCTGATGATGATGATGGTGCCCAGATGATGATGATGAGGTTGATGACACTGATGTTGATGATGATGGTGATGATGATGATGATGGTGTTCCCATGATGATGTTGATGATGAAGATGAGATGACGGTGTCCCGATGATGATGATGGTGTTGATGATGAGGTGATGATGAGGTGATGATGATGATGATCTGATGATGGTGGAAGATGGTGATGTTGATGATGAACATGTTGATACTGATGATGGGGCCCCGATGATGATGATGATGATGATGATGATGATGGTGGTGATGATGATGATGGTGACGATGATGATGGTGTCCCAATGAGGATGATGCTGATGTTGATGATGATGATGTTGTTGATGATGATGGTGTCCCGATGACGATGTTGATCTTGATGATGATGTTCATGATGGTGTAATGATGATGATGATGGAAATGATGATGGTGGTACTCCGATGATGATGATGGTGTCCCGAAGATGATGGTCCTGCTGATGATGATGGTGACGATGACGGTGTCCCAATGATGGTGATGATGATGTTGTTGATGTTGATGTTGCGGTGATGATGACGATGATGGTGTTCCCATGATGATGATGATGATGATGATGATGATGATGATGATGATGATGATGATGATGATGATGATGATGTTAATGACGTTGGTGACGATGATGGTGATGATGATGTTGATGACGTTGATTGTGAAATCGATTGTGATATCGATAGTGAGATCGATAGTGAGACCGAATGTGAGATCGACTATGATATCGATATTGCGATCGATCATGAGATCGACTGTGAGATCGATCGTCAGATCGATTGTGAGATCGATCGAATGAACTAGATCGAGCGAGATCGATTGTGAGATCGATCGAGTGAGATCGATCGAGCGAGACCGATAGTGAGATCGATTGTGAAATCGATAATGAGACCGATCGAGTGAGACGGTGGTTCCTTACCCCCCCCGAACCTCCTTATCACCCGAAGGGTGGTCGTATAGGTATGTCTGTGTATATATGTACACTAGAACCATCGCGCGCGCGCTTCGCGCGTGCTTCGGTTCTAGCTGGTCGAGTGCTGCCCGCACTGCGACAACGAAACGATCATGAATACTGAGGTCAACATTCTCTGTTTCCTCGAACCTGCCTCTTCCTCATTCCTCTTCCGCTCCCCTCGACCAGTCGACTGGTGATCCGTCGCCGAGCTTCTTGGGGACCTCTTGACCCCTGCCGTGGTCTCCTAAGGCGAAGACCCCGGGTCCTCGGTTCACGTTCCCGATAGTGGCGTTCGGCCCATCCCGCTACCGTGCCTGGGTTGTGGTTTAGAGGCCTCTTGGAAAATCGTTTGGAATTCGTGGGAGGCTTCCCGAAGGCCTCTTGAAAGCAGTTTTGAATGCCTCTTGGGGGCCGTTTGGGGAGATCGTGGGGCGTTTTTGGGGGCCCCTTTGGGGCATCGTGGGGCCTCTAGGAGGCCCCTGGGGCGCCTCTTGGGCTGTGTGGGGGGCTTCTTGGGGCCCCCTGGAGGCCTCTTGGGGCGGAAGGCTTGACTTGTCGATTCGTGTCCCCCCCCCCTTGGGCCCCTCTTGGGGCCGTCTTGGACCCCAGAGGCCTCCAAGACGGCCCAAGAGGCCTCCAAGAGGTCCTCCATGAGGGCCTGAAGAGGCCAAAATCATTGATCTTCCTTAGGTTTTTGAAGGATGTTCGCATTCGCTTCTTCTCGGCCTTCCGACGACCCAAGACGGCCCAAGAGGCCCCCAAGATCGCCCCCACAGCGCCGAAGAGGTCTCCAAGATGGCCTCAGGACTGCCCAAGAGGCCCCCAAGAAGGCCCCAAGAGGGCACAAAGACGACCCAAGAGGCCTCCAAGACGCCCAAGATGGCCTATAAGACGGCCCTGGACCACCCCAAGAGGGCCCCAAATCGGCCCAGAAAGAACCCTCAAACGGCTTCCGACGGCGTCAGACGGGCCAGGAGCCCACCAAGATGGCCGATGATGATGATGATGATGATGATGATGATGTTGACGATGAAGGTGATGATGGCGATGATGGTGTCCAGGTGATGATGAAGGTGTTGATGATGAGGAATATGATGAGGTGATGGTGATGATTTGATGATGGTGGAAGATGGTAATGCGAATGATGACCATGTTGATAATGATAATGGGTCCCGGTGATGATGATGATGATGATGATGATGATGATGATGATGATGATGATGATGATGATTATGATTATGATGATGATGATGGTGGTGGTGATGATAATGATGGTGATGATGATGATGGTGTCCCAATGATGATGATGCTGATGTTGATGATGATACTGATGTTGTTGATGATGACGTGTCCCGATAATGATGGTGATGATGCTGATGATGATGTGCATGATGATGAATGATGATGATGGAGATGGTGATGGTGGTACTCCGATGATGATGCTGTCCCGGTGATGATGGTGTTGGTGATGGTGATGGTGACGATGACGGTGTCCCGATGATGATGATGATGATGATGATGATGATGATGATGATGATGATGATGATGATGATGATGATGGTGATGATGATGATGATGATGTTGATGATGCAGTGGTGATGACGATGATGGTGTTCCGATGATGATGATGCTGCTGATGATGTTGATGATGGTAATGACGTTGGTGACGACGATGTTGATGATGATGATGACGTTGATTGTGACATCGATTGTGATATCGATAGTGAGATCGATAGTGAGACCGAATGAGAGATCGACTATGATATCGATATTGCGATCGATAATGAGATCGATTGTGAGATCGATCGCTTGATCGATTGTGAGACCGATCGAATGAAATCGATCGAGCGAGATCGATTGTGAGATCGATCGAGTGAGATCGATCGAGCGAGACCGATAGTGAGATCGATTGTGAAATCGATAGTGAGACCGATCGAGTGAGACGGTGGTTCCTTACCCCCCCCGAACCTCCTTATCACCCGAAGGGTGGTCGTATAGGTATGGCTGTGTATATATGTACACTGGAAACATCGCGCGCGCGCTTCGCGCGTGCTTCGGTTCTAGCTGGTCGAGTGCTGCCCGCACTGCGACAACGAAACGATCATGAATAATGAAGTCAGCATTCTCTGTTTCCTCGAACCTGCCTCTTCCTCATTCCTCGTCCGCTCCCCTCGACCAGTCGACTGGTGATCCGTCGCCGAGCTTCTTGGGGACCTCTTGACCCCTGCCGGGGTCTCCTAAGGCGAAGACCCCGGGTCCTCGGTTCACGTTCCCGATAGTGGCGTTCGGCTCATCACGCTACCGTGCCTGGGTTGTGGTTTAGAGGCCTCTTGGAAAATCGTTTGGAATTCGTGGGAGGCTTCCCGAAGGCCTCTTGAAAGCAGTTTTGAATGCCTCTTGGGGGCCGTTTGGGGAGATCGTGGGGCGTTTTTGGGGGCCCCTTTGGGGCATCGTGGGGCCTCTAGGAGGCCCCTGGGGCGCCTCTTGGGCTGTGTGGGGGGCTTCTTGGGGCCCCTGGGGACGGAAGGCTTGACTTGTCGATTCGTGTCCCCCCCCCTTGGGCCCCTCTTGGGGCCGTCTTGGGCCCCAGAGGCCTACAAGACGGCCCAAGAGGCCTCCAAGAGGTCCTCCATGAGGGCCTGAAGAGGCCAAAATCATTGATCTTCCTTAGGTTTTTGAAGGATTTTCGCATTCGCTTCTTCTCGGCCTTCCGACGACCCAAGAGACGGCCCAAGAGGCCCCCAAGATCGCCCCCACAGCGCCGAAGAGGCCTCCAAGATGGCCTCAGGACTGCCCAAGTGGCCCCCAAGAAGGCCCCAAGAGGGCACAAAGACGACCCAAGAGGCCTCCAAGACGCCCAAGATGGCCTATAAGACGGCCCTGGACCACCCCAAGAGGGCCCCAAGTCGGCCCAGAAAGAACCCTCAAACGGCTTCCGACGGCGTCAGACGGGCCAGGAGCCCACCAAGATGGCCGAAGTTGGCTCGAACCTGGCCCAAGACGGCCCAAGAGGCCTCCAAGAGGGCCTCTAAAAAGGCAAGAAAATGCCAAAAACACTGATTGTCCATTGGTGTTCGAAGGATTTTGACATTTGCTTCGTTCCGGCCTGCCGACGGCTCGAGACGGCCCAAGAGCCCTCAACGATTGCCCGAGGATCGCTCAAGAGAAGACGGCCAACATGGACTCCAAGTTCGCGCAAGATGGCCTCCAAGTTCGCCCAAGACGGACCAAGATTGCCTCCGAGACGGCTCAAGAGAGTCCAAGATGCGTCCAACTTCGCGCAAGAAGCCTCCAAGACGGCCAAAGATGGCCCCAAAGCCAGAGAGCCCCCAAAGGGCCTCCAAGACGGTCCTACAGGAGGGCCCGAAAAGGCCAAAATCATTGATTACTTGAGATGTTGAAAGGTGCTGCCCTCTGCTTTGTTTCGGCCTTCCGACGGCCCAAGACAGCCAAAGAGGTCCCCAAGGTCGCCCCAAGATGTCCCAAAAGACCTCCAACATGACCCCGTGACGCCCTAAGAAACCCCCAAGACCAAGACGGCCGCAAGAGGGCCCCAAGAGGCCTCCAAGACGCCCAAGATGGCCTCCAAGACGGCCCAACATGGTCCCAAACGGGCTCCTGGATGGCCCAACAGGGCCCAAGATGCATCCAAGTCTGCCCAAGAAGGCTCCAAGACGGCCCAAGAGGCCCTCAAGAGACCTTCAAGACGGCTCAAGAGACCTCCAAGCGGTCCTCCAGGAAAGCTGGAAGAGGCCAACATCATTGTTTTCCCCTTGGTTGTTGAATGACTTAGCCCTTTGCTTCTGTTCGGCCTCCGACGGACCAAGACGGCCCAAGAACCCCCCACGAAGGCGGCTTCCAAGATGACCCCGTGACGCCCCAAGAGGCCCTCGAGACGGCCGCAAGATGGCCCCAAGATGGCCCAAGAGGCCGCCAAGACGCCCAAGATAGCATCAAACACGGCCCTGAAGCGCCCCAAGATGGCCCAAAGCCTGTGCAGAGAGGCATCCAAGACGGCCCACGAGGCCATCAAGAACCCCAAAACGCCCCCAAGAGGCACAAGGATGCTTCCAAGAGGCCTCGACAAGGCCCGCAGGAAGCTCCCAGGAGGCCCCAAGTGTCCTCCTCATCCTCATCCTCCTCCTCCTCCTCCTCCACCTCCTCCGTCTCCTCTTCCTCCTCCTCCTCGTCCTCCTCCTCCTCCTCCCTCCCTCCTCCCCCTCCACCTCCCCCTCCTCCTCCTCCTCCTTCTCCTCTCACCCTCCTCCTCCTCTTCCTCCTCCTCCTCCTCCTCCTCCTCCTCCTCCTCCTCCTCTCTATTTGTACTCCCTCTCCTCCGCTTCTTCTTTGTTCCCCGCGTGTTCCCCGCGGGGGGTCCACAACGGCTGGGGGAACACATGGCCACGACGTTCGGCCACATGGGCGATTCCAAAAGGCAGGAGGCGGCGGTGATTTGCCGCAAACGTCTTCGATCCCCGGTTGATTTATCATAGGGCTGCCTGGCGTGAACTTTTGGTTGTTTCTGGTTCGACTTAAGACACGCATCCGGGTCTTTGGCCCAGCGCCCCAGCCACCCGGAAAGCCGCACAGGCTGCTCACAACGTCCACAACTAATCATCCCAAGACGGCCCAAGATGGCCTCCAGGACGGTCAAGATGGCCCAAGATGGCCTCCAAGATAGCCTAGATGGCCCCACGAAGGCCCAAGATGGCCCCACGATGAACCCAATACGGTCCAACATGCCCCAAGACGGTCCAAGACGGCCTCAAGAGATCCAAGACAGCCCAAGGGGCCCCCAAGAGGTCCTCCAGGAGGGCTGGAAGAGGCCCTAATCATTGATCTCACACATATAATTACCCTGGCGATGTGTCCAACCCCTGCGCAATGCGGGGCAGGAGTAGCTTGGGAGATTTGACGAGAAGGCGGCGACGTGACATGGACGCATATACTTCTGCGAGGGGCATTCGGAAGGTTCGCAGGTCCCCAATCAAGGGAAAAATCATGAGTAACTGAGTGAACCCCTGAGTCACTAAGGAAGACGCCAGGTCGAAAGGAGACTGTGGGCAAGGGGCTTGAAACGTCGGCGGGGCAGCAACAACCTGACATGGCCGCACAAGGACGGCGAGGTCCCGCACAAGTCCGCGCAGCGCCTCACTCCGCTGGCCCCACCAGCAGCCTTCCGAAGTGGCGAGCCCACCAGCAGCCCTCGAAAGCGGCGACAGTTTCGCGGATCGCAGCCCCCCAAGGACGTCGAGGTCTACCTCAAGTCTGCGCGGTGCCTCACTCCGCTGGACTCACAAGCAGCCCTCGAAAGTGGCGACAATTTCGCGGATCGCAGCCTCCCAGGGACGGCGAGGTCTACCTCAAGTCTGCGCGGTGCCTCACTCCGCTGGACCCATCAGCAGCCCTCGAAAGTGGCGACAATTTCGCGGATCGCAGCCCCCCAGAGACGGCGAGGTCTACCTCAGGTCTGCGCGGTGCCTCAATCCGCTGGACCCACCAGCAGCCCTCGAAAGTGGCGACAATTTCGCAGATCGCGGACCCCGAGGAACGACGAGGTCTACCTCAGGTCTAGGCGGTGCCACACTCCGCTGGACCCACCAGCAGCCCTCGAAAGTGGCGACAATGTCGCAGATCGCAGCCCCCCAGGGACGGCGAGGTCTACCTCAGGTCTGCGCGGTGCCTCACTCCGCTGGACCCACCAGCAGCCCTCGAACATGGCGGCAATTTCGCAGATCGCAGCCCCCCAGAGACGGCGAGGTCTACCTCAAGTCTGCGCGGTGCCTCACTCCGCTGGACCCACCTGCAGCCCTCGAAGTGGCGACAATTTCGCAGATCGCAGCCCCCCAGGGACGGCGAGGTCTGCCTCAAGTCTGCGCGGTGCCTCACTCCGATGGCCCCACCAGCAGCCCTCGAAAGTGGCGACAATTTCGCAGATCGCAGCCCCCCCCCCCAGGGACGGCGAGGTCTACCTCAGGTCTGCGCGGTGCCTCACTCCGCTGGACCCACCAGCAGCCCTGGAAAATGGCGATAATTTCGCAGATCGCAGCCCCCCCAGGGACGGCGAGGTCTACCTCAGGTCTGCGCGGTGCCTTACTCCGCTGGACCCACCAGCAGCCCTCGAAAGTGGCGACAATTTCGCAGATCGCAGGCCCCCCAGGAACGACGAGGTCTACCTCAGGTCTGCGCGGTGCCTCACTCCGCTGGACCCACCAGCAGCCCTCGAAAGGGCGACAATTTCGCAGATCGCAGCCCCCCCAGCGACGGCGAAGAGAGGGCAGGAGGAGGGAGGAGGCGGGAGCAAGGACGCTGGAGCAGTGCTTTATTCAAAACGAATACACAACCAAGGAGGGTTGGGAACAAATGGTTGCGTTCACGTCACATAGGCTTTCTGACGGCGCCAGACGGCCCAAGTGGCCCCCAAGACGGCCCAAGATGGCCGAGAGGCCTCCAAGATGGCCCCACGACGGCCCAAGAAGCCCTGAGACGGCAGCAAAAGGGCCCCAAGACGGCCCTAGATGGCCGAGAGGCCTCCTAGATGGCCCCACGACGGCCCAAGAAGCCCTGAGACGGCAGCAAGAGGGCCTCAAGACGGCCCAAGATGCCTCCAAGACGCCCAAGGTGGCCTCCAAGACGGCCCTGAAGCGCCCCCAGGTGGCTCCAAGACTGCCCAGAGAGGCTCCCAAGACGGCCTCCGACGGCCCAAAGAAGCCCCGAAAACCCCCCAAAGGCCGAAGGAAACCCCAAGAGGCTTCCGGAAAGCTCCCAGCAGGCGCCAAGAATAACCCAAGAGGTCTCCTCACCCTTCTTCATCTCTTCATTGTTCCTCCCTCTCCTCATCCTCCTGTTCCTCCCCACGGGTTTCCCGATCAGTTTCCACAACGGCTGGGGGACACACATGGTCCAACAGCGTGGCCAAGTTTTGCCCACACGTTTGGCCACATAGGCATATCCTAAGAGGCAGGGGTGGCGATGATTCGCCGTAGGCATCTTCGATCCGCCGCCCACATGTACTTGCCACAAGGGTGCACGGCGTACTGAACTTCTGAGTGGTGTTGGTTATGTTTGAAGATTTCCAGCGGGTCTCGACCCAATCCGCAATCCAACCGAAACGCTGCCTAGTTCCTCTCCATCTCCCTCTCTCTCTCCCCTTCTCTCTGGCTCTCTCGCTCTCTCTCCCTCTCTCTCTCTCTTTCTCTCTCCCTCTCTCTCCAACCATTATACTACCACCCTGCTCTGCCCACTTCCTCCTCCTCCTCCTCCTCCTTCTCCTCCTCCCCGAGCTTCTCCCTCCCTCCCTCCCTCCCCTCTCCTCCTCGGCCCCGGCGGGCCTGCAGGACTAGGGAGCCGCTCAGCCCGCCGCACAGCTTGGTGGCGTGGAAGAGGTCGAACATCTGCGGGCAGCTCCGTTTAATGTTGGGCAAACGCTGGCTAGCTCGAGCCGTCGCGCCGTGGCGGCAGCGATGCGAGAAAGAACGGTTCGGAGCGCAGCGCTCGAGAAACTGGCGGGCCAGGCCCTGGTACTGTAGCAGCGCGCGGCGGCGGGAACCAGGATATGCAGGACAGTTCGGATCGGCACAGATTCGAGCGTGTTCTGCAGCGCCTGGGTGAGGTCGGCTCCTCCTCCCCCTCCTCCACAAGTACGCAACATGAATACTACTCTCCCTCTTCCCCTGATGACGGCTTGGAAGTGTTAGCCCCCCCCCCCCGCGTACTGTTTTTTACACACAGGATTCTCCGGAGTTGGGTTTTCGCATGCATTTTTTCCAAAATGATGCTCTCGCTGAGGCGCCGGCCTCATTTTCGGGCCCCCCTCGTTCCGAATCGTGCTCCCGCTGCAGAGCTGGCCTCATTTCCGTGCTTCCACTCGTTCCGAATCGTGTTCCCGCTGCAACGGTGGCCTCATTTCCGCGCTTCCGCTCGTTCCGACTCGTGTTCCCGCTGCAGTGCTGGCGTCATTTCCCGTGCCATGCCACGGCATGCGATGCAATGCTAGGTTGATGCTACGCTTTGCGGTGCTCTTCTGCGCCATGCCACGTCGTGCTCTACAATACATCGCGTACCCTTTCGGGATCATTGCCCTGCTCGACGTCCGATTGTGCGAGTAGAGAGGGGATCTACGCCATGGTAAGGGATGGGACGGAGGCGTAGGATGTCAGATATGACGCGAGCGCACCTAGCTTGATATGAATACTACCCTCCTTCTTCCCCTGATGACGGTTTAAAAGTATTAGCTCCCTTCCGCGTACTGTTTTTTACAGACAGGATTCCCCAGAGGTGGGTTTTAGCCTGCATTTGTTCAAAAACGCTGCTCTCGCTGAGGCGCCGGCCTCATTTTCGGGCCCCGCTCGTTCCGAATCGTGCTCCCGCTGCAGAGCTGGCCTCATGTCCTGTCCGTGCTTCCGCTCGTTCCGAATCGTGCTCCCGCTGCAGCGCTGGCCTCATTTCCCGTGCCATGCCACAGCATGCGATGCAATGCTAGGTTGCGTTCCGCTGCGCGATGTCATGCCTTCAGCTGCAGCTGTCATATCCAGTGCTTAAGTGCAACGTCATGCTATGCCATGCTACGCTTTGATCTTCAACGCCATGCTATGCAATGTTATGTTCTGGGCCGCTGTGCAATGCCATGCTTTGCGTTGCAAAGCTTTGTGAAGCAATTCTTCACTGCGCCACCCCAGGCAATGCTGTGGCATACTACGCTTTGCGGTGCTCTTCTACGCCATGCCATGCCGTGCTCTACAATGCATCGCGTACCCTTTCGGGATTTTTGCCCCGCTCGACATCCGACTGTGCGAGTAGAGAGGGGATCTACGCAATGGTAAGGGATGGGGAGGGGTAGGATGTCAGATATGACGCGAGCGCACCTGACTTGTCCTCCTCCCCCTCCCCCGCCCCCTCCCCCTCCCCCGCCCTTGCCTTTGCCCCCGCTCTCGCCCCCGCCCCTGCCCCCGGCCCCCGCCCCCGCCCCCTCCCCGCCCCCGCCCCCCCCCCCTCCTCCTCCCCCTTTCCCTCCCCCGCCCCCTCCCCCTCCTCCTCCTCCTCCTCCTCCTCCCTCCTCCTCCTCCTCCTCCTCCCTCCTCCCTCGTCTCCCTCGTCCTCGTCCTCGTCCTCGTCCTCGTCCCTTGTCCCTCCTCCTCCTCCTCCTCCCTCCTCCGCCTCCTCCTCCTCCTCCTCCTCCTCCGCCTCCCCCTCCTCCTCCTTCTCCTCCTCCTCCTCGCTCCTCCGCCTCCACATCGTCGCCTCCTCCGCCTCCCTCCGCCTCCTCCGCCTCCTCCGCCTCCCCTCCTCCTCCCTCCTTCTCTCCTGCTCCTCCTGCTCCTCCTGGTCTCCTGCTCTTCTTGCTCCTGCTCCTCCTCCTCCTCCTCCTCCTCCTCCTCCTCCTCCCTCTCCTGCTCCCTCCTGCCCTCCTCCTCCTGCTCCTCCTGCTCCTCCCCCTCCTCCTCCCTCCTCCTCCTCCTGCTCCTCCCTCCCTCCTCCCTCCTCCTCCTCCTCCTCCTCCTCCTCCTCATCATCATCATCATCATCCGCATCCTCTAAATTTGTTTATGCTTTTTCTTATTCGTCTTCTTATTCTTCGTATTAGTAATATTATTATTATTAT